ACTTGAGGACACACTTTTCATAGGTAATGTTTTGTTTTTAGACCTGTCAGGTCAAACTGATCCCAAATAGCTACGAGATATTGAAAATCCATCCAAAACAAGAGCTGAGGTCTCAGGATGTTAAATCTGAAATATTTTAGTGTCTTGTGAATTTCAACAAATATGCACGGCAAAATAAGCAAGAATCAAGTTTGGAGTGTCTGTGACATTTTGGGTGCACTTACAGGTGAATCCAGAGCATTGCTACTGCCCACACAAAACAAAAAACAGTCAAAACAAGTTTGACAGATTATTTGTGCTCATGTTGGATTCCATCAGCATCAAAGAATAATTAAGAACATCTGCTTCGGGGCCTTTAAAGCTTAAAAATTGCTAGAACCATTTTTCAAAATGTCACTGCTTTGGTGTTTTAGAGGTGCAATCTGTAGACAGTGGTTACATCTATCCTGAACAAATTACTTTTGTTTACACAAAAAGTTTTTTGATTTTATTTTTTGGAGGCGGGGATTTCAAACAAAGCATGAGCTGAGTCACTATTGAATCCTACTGTGACCGAATAGCGAATGGTAATTTACATGAAAATAATGAATGATTACCCCACACCGTTGTATAAAAAATTGATCCAGAGGGACCGATACCACATTTTGTTCTTAATCATGACGATTTAGCGGAAGGAAAGCAGCAGTTCCAATTATTTTGTCAAAAATTATTTCAGTTTGGCTAGTTATTAAGATGCCACCATTACGAACCAGCAGGCCAGGTCCCTAAATTGGGAGTAATCGTTTGATAAATGCTGGTTCCTTTTAAAGGAGCAAATTTTAAGATTTATAATTTTTTTTTTAAAAAGGAAACTTCCTGTTGTCCCATTAAAACACGGTAATTTGACAAACTGACAATACAACAGCCCAGCTAGAACGAGTTAGTCAGTATGAATAAAGCTTTTATGAAATGGTGTTTCCAAGAGCCAACTTATGGTTTAGAACAACCAAAAAAAAAAGACCCATAAGAGATAAATTTCAGATATAGAAATACAGTTCAGGCCAAAAAGCTAAGAAATATGCTTTATCTGTCTTGCCCAGCCTGTATTTCTGTTGCAGAAGTCGCTGCTGGCTGTGAATTGACAGCGATAACCTCACAAATTAGATTTGGCTCTGTGGCTTTGAGCTGTGCCAGATCTATTTGAGACTACCATTCTGCACTGAAACGTCCGAGGCTAATGTAGGAGAAATACATCTGAAATTGAGCAGCACTGGACCTTACCTGGAAAAAAAAAGAGGATTTACTGTAAGGCTTAGAAAGGTCAAAACTTAACTCTTACATTTGGAAAAGTTATTTCACAATAATCTGCTTCACTTTTCGAAGCTGATCAATAGCTCCTGATATATACTAGCAAGACTGCCGTGTCTTGTTAGTAGCTAATTTAATAGGCCATCCATCTTTGTACGTGCAGTGGCAGCTAAATATACACAAGTAATTTACCTCACCTTGAAACTCCTCGGCTCTCACAAAAAAAAGACATAGAGGGAATCCAGATTTTCTCCTGTCTTTCAAGACATTATATTATTTCATATGCCTTTTTTCCCCTCTTCCTTTAAATCCTGTGAAGCTTGTTATTTTAGTGGCACCTTTCACTGTGTCTTCACCCCTTTCTCTGTAATTTCTTCACCCTGCACTCTGTGGTCCTCTAAGGGAGATTACAGATAGCTGGAGGTGTGGCAGTGCTGTAATTGAGGGGCAGAGGATGTGTGTGTATGTGAGTGTGCCCTAAAACTCCAGCTAAACACTAGAAATCTTATTACTTAAAGACAAGAAGGGAGCGAGTAAAGGAGGGATGGAAAAGGAAGACAAATTGGATTGCAAAGGAAGGATGGGCTTGTTTCAATCTTCCCTTCGCAGCTTAATTTGCTGGCTTGAGTCTGATATCACCCATTAAGCCATCAAAGCATAATACTGATTCTTTTGTATCCTGTTTTTAAGGCTGATTTAACAGGCAGGGTGCAGAATTAACTGAGAGACTGAATAGTTTTGAGCCTGGTTCCCGGTGAACTCCAAGCTGTGCTGTAGGAAAGTGCTTAGCGAGCTGCAGAGGCACTTGCAGAAAGTACCCGGGTTAATCTCAGGGAGAGGGTTGAGGTAAATATAGAGAGAGAGGGAGAGAGCCCTAATAGGATTAGTCTGAGTCACACAGACATGCGTCACTGCACATGAATGCACAAAAACACGCACACATGCATACGCTCCTTTGAATAATAAATGCTTTGGATATGTGACCAAATGCACAAAACACATGCTGAAGCTTTTTTTTAGGTGAGCCTATAAGCATGGCTGTACTGTACAAGTGTTGATGTAAGTCAGTTATGCTTCTCTTATCATCAACTGTAATGTTTGAGAGCAAGAGATCTCAGACCGATCTCAGACATGTGGTGAAAGCATCATCTAAGAAATTAGTATACCTGAGGTTATCCACGAAGTGGGTCTGGCAGTTGGTGGAAATGGCCCTCTGGCAGTGTGTTTGAGCGTGATTGCAAGTGATATCAAAGTGGATGTGCACTGTTACAGTGGTGGATGCTGATTTTTGGGCCAAACATTCAAGTAAAGAGGTGAGGATATGTTGAGGTAATCTATGTGAGTCAAAAGCTCAGACTTCAGAATGCTCCAAGCACTCATATCACAACAAATCGTTCCTAAAATTGGCTCCGTTTGATGTAAATAAGGGGGGATAACGATAATATGGTCACAGCAGCTACAGCTCCCACCACCTGTTCAAGTCTTTTGATTGCAAGAGGCTGCCAATCAAACAAATATTTCCTTAAAAGAAATAATGGATGAGCTGATGTGCTACACCAAAGCCTACTGTAACATAAACATGGATTATTGTGAACTGTTAATCATGCAAAGCTACTCTCGCAGAGGTCAAGACTAAAAATGTCTCCCTTGAGTATAATTTCTTTAACTAATTAAATGTTTTTCTTCTAATCCAACAACAAACTCTTGATCTCAGATGCAAATATCATGAAACTGTAGGGCAGTCGGTGTAGAACGAGCACGCTTCACTGGTCAGTAATGAGTAAGCCATAATGAATATAAACACAATGAATGGGGAGAGGTAATGGTGGCGTGCTGTAACCAAAGCTTACCATTATGTAGTTACAGGGCAGGCAAACACCAGTGGGCACTAATTAAATAACTCTCAACATTCATGTCTGTGCTTAAATAAAACTGTAGTGTGCCAATAAAGGAGGCAAAGCAGATACTTTGATATTTTAGCCACTGCAGCTTTAACCACAGCCGGCAGCGTGTCAGTGCTTCCATGTACATTTAACTGAGCTTTGAGGTGCTGATGCTCTAGCGTTTCCCTGTTTCAGCCTAACTTAAATCCAGTGGAGAAAAAATGTCAACCAACCAATCCTGTCATATCAAAGGCGTTAGTCATCCTTTGGTAAAAACAAAGCAAAAAAGACACACTTTGAAAACACAGAGAACAGACAAGACGTTAGAGGTATTACAAAAAAAATCTATATTCATTTGTTTTAACAAACAAAAATGCAACCAAAGCTGCAAGTCTGGGTTAAAACTGCAATATGAGCTGAGAACTAAGGAAATACAAAAATCAATCCTGCTGTTATTCAAGTGTGAACAAATCCTTTGGTGACAGTTAAAACAGATACATTCATCAGTTACAAATAAGTAAGCCTAAAATTAATCTCCCAAAACATAACATGTAGTAAATAACAATGGCTGCTTGGGTCTAAATTAAAGATCAAGGTATTAAGAGTCAGAAAAGGCGAACAAAGGTGATTCCCAGCCACAGACTGAATATGAAAGATAAACGTAGCCTCGTGGTTTGAAAAGGGAAACCAGTGAGAATGCTCTTAAACTGACATTTTTTCCCCCCAATGGCCAGCAGAGAGCTACTCGTTCTTCTACTTCTCACTGGTTTCAATCACAGTTTGATTTCTTATGATTTTCATTATGTAATTATTGTTAATTTTAGAGTAATTCAGACAATAAAGGATGAAAACCATAAAAAAAACAAGCTGAAGCATTCAAAATGCTTCTGATGTCACAGTGGCCCACACCATCTTCCCTATACAGTCTATGTTCCCAACCTGGATTTGATCACAATATAAATATGAAGTTTCACGACATGAATTTACAGGAAATTTATATATATCGATATCATCGATATTTATCAACATGTTAATATGCATTTTCTTATTTTTTAGATTTGCTGGTTTATTTTAGTCCTTCTAAACTCCAAAAGCTGTTAAACTGAAACTAATGAATGACCGAAAGTCTCTTGGTGGAACGGATCCATCCAGTGAAGAGGGCCAAACATGCCGGGAACCATGTTGGGAAATGTTTTGGTGATTGTTTTCTCCAGAGAGAGAATTTTAGACAGTAGAAGAAGAAACATAATATAACCTTGTTATTCTTTAGGAGGTCACATTTGAACTCAGAACATACTGCAGCTTTAACATGTGATTTAGGGAAAGTATTGGTGAAATTGCTCTGGACAGTTGAAATATTACTGGAGTGTCTTTTGGAGACATGCAAAACTGCATGTGAAATTCTCATGTTAAAAACTATTAAGAGACCAGCGGTGGACAAGGGACGTCTATGGGATGTAATAAATAAAACAAAAGCTGACAGCTGACTCTTCAAGAGTTAACTCTACATCTAACCTCCTCTCTCAAGA